AGCTCCCTGCTCTTCCCACTGCCACCCAGTGCTTTGCCCAGGTGGTAGAGGCAGAAGGGAGGGATTGAGATGAGAAGCCTTGCAGCTCTGTGCCAAAACCTCCTCCTTATCTCCTAAAATCTCTGCGTGAGCAAGCTGGCAGTGATTGCAGTACTAAGATCAGCAGTGCCTGCTGGAAGCCAGCAGAGCTGAGGGCTCCCGGCAGCAGGGAAGCCCTCGCTGCCTGCATGGCCCTCCCGGGCACTGGGAAATTACTGGAAATTGCCACTCCTTGGATCCCTCCACAGATTATTCCTACAGAGCAGAAACCTGCAGCAACAGGTGAGGTGGCTGCAATCCTATTGGAGTCAACAACACAGCACCAGCCTGATCGAGAGACAGACCAGCAGCACCAGCAGCTGTTTCACATCTAGATAAATTCATACACAAATCTGCAACTTCAGTCTCCCAAGAGAACTGAGCAGGATTTAGAAACTTACCCTTGCACACAAAGGAAAAGCCAGCAGCTTTTGCTGTTTCCCTCAGCAGAAGGTTAGCATAGCAAAGAGCAGCTTACCTCCACGTGGTTTCTGCCACCATCCAACAGGATGAAATTTAAAAGACTTGGCTTCCAGAAGCATATCAAATTCCACAGGTGAACTCAAATCTTGCCTGGAAAAATCAGATGCATTCATACCATCTCCAAGCCGCCTTCTCCCACAGGCATAAAAAAAAAGCTATCAGTTTAACTCAACTGATTTATATCCACCACAGGCTCTAACTACCCAAAATGGTAGCAAGTGGTTTAAAATAAATAAATTAAAATATCCTATCCCAAAAAAAAGTTCAGAAAGGTACTTTCCTCTTCTAAAACACCACCCGTCAGAACCTTCCTAACTTTAAAATTGCTTCAAGTGAAGCCCTGGTACTCTTTATATTTCCTGCAAACAAGTGCCTCTGTTCCTTTTCCATTTGAATTGTCCTGCCAGAAGGTGTCTTCTCAAGGAGAGCTGCATGAAGGGAGGTAGGCTGTGGAAGCAGTGCATTGGATCCACCTGGGGCAAGCTGAAATCAGTGTCCTGCCCCTCTCATTGCGCTTCAATGTAGCCTTGAAATTCTCTTCAAATATTCTTTTACTGCTTGCTATTGTCCCCTGGCTGAGCAATTTGGAAGTCTAGCTATTATTTCTGCCTTTATTTCTGCCCCAAGGGATAGAAGTTATGGAAATATCTTTCTTTCCCCCTACAGGGCTAGGATTCAGTACAGCATATGGATGGATGGATGGTTAGCTCCCAAATCTTCCTAGAACTCTGTAGTTCAGATCTGTATTTTGAGGGTGCCCATTTAATTCCTTAGGTGCTCGTGCCACATATTTAACACATAATTAATAAGCTAAAGCAACCCATCCCTGTCCTACCCCGGGGAGGAGGCAGGTCTGAGCGGACCCCCCTGCAGCCAGGAGCAGGGGCATGGTGCAGCATTAGCACGAGATCCTTCTTCCATTCACTGAGGACTTCAGAATCTGTTACTGCTTCCAATTGCTTATTTTAAGACAACGACAGAGCAAGCAACACGCATGATGTGTGTTTAATAGACTTGATAATCTGCAGAAGCCCCATTTCCTCAGATCTGGGGGAGACGTTGCTGGCACTGGACTCTTGGGAAATTCATGGCAATGGAATTTTTTTAAGAGTTTGGGTTTGTGTTCCCCCCCCACCCCCTTAAGTTATATGAAAGTTTTCTATTCATCATGAAGATTTATTGATTGTTCTAGGGCTGTAGGATAATTAAATATACAAATGCTTGGCAGTTGTAGTAGAGAATATTCTTTTAGAAATGCTAACAATAGGTTAAATCCAAGGAATTCCACTCCTAGTACTCTGTGGGGTCATAAATAAGTTCAGTGCAGGGGATATAAATATACATGACACCATTTAAAAATCAGGTACACGACTGGACTGTAGCAATTGAGTTTATGTCTCACTTACCCTTCAGTCACCAAGGTTAGTAACCCTTCCCCATCCTTTGTGCTCATTATTTTATGACTGAAGAAAATCATATATATGTGTCATTCAGGGGTTTTTAGCCTCATGTGCTCAAATTAAATGGAAAGGCATCATTCTGCAAGTATCCCCAACTTGTATGGAAAGTAAATTCTTGCCACCCCTCCCCTCCCAACGCTAACTGTCCGGCTATGAAACAGGGGGCTATCTGCCCGCCAAGGGAGATTTTATTGCTAAAATAAAGTAAAAATTGTTTTAAAACAAAGAACACACATTTTTATAGTAAAACTCAAGTTTGTTTTACAATTAGAGAAAAGAGTCACATGGTCCCCCAAAACCCCCCAAGTTTTATATATATATTTTGAAAATATATTTAAAAACATAAAAAACTCTATAGTTAAACATATATTATGTTAATCAGTACACTTAAATATAGCTTAATTATATTTACAATATGATGCAGTTGCTTTTAAATTTTAATGCCAATTGCAGTTTTTCCCCAAAACCATAAAATTATATAAATATACAATAAATATTTATGTTACACAAGGTGAATAATAGAGAACAAGGCCACAGACATTAACTTACAGTTGCAAGAGTCTTTACTTTAACACAGCACTAGGCCTGCTGACATGCATGATATAGCTTTGTCACAAATGGACCACAGAAATTTAATTAAGTGACATGAAGGGAAGCACCCCCCCTCCACCCCTGGTGTAGCTGCCCCTGCCCAGGATGTGTTAGGCCAGGCAGGTGAGAGCCATGGGACTTGCAGTTTAATCGCCAGTTTCCCACCCCATCACTAGGCACAGAGTTGGTGTCTTCTGGGGAATCTCAGCCTAGCTGTACCTACAGCTTTTCTGTAGGTTCTCAGCTCTCTTCTAGCCCGCCCATAGGCTACCCTGTACCCCTCAGAACCCCCCACTCCCCTGTGTTAATTCTGCCACACCAGTGCCACCTCACCAACGCAGGCAGGGCTTTCCAGTTAAGGATACAGCCATAATTAACTTTGGGAAATGAGGAACTTGACTTCTGGTGCGATTTATGCGTTAACACCTCTCTTTTGCAAATTCAATTTATCTGAACTGGGATTTATTTTATTCCTATATCTGAATCAGATTCCTGTCATGTCCTAACTCTCATTTCTTTTTCCAGCTTAGATGAGTGATCTGTTTGTTATTCACTCATTAGCCTCATCCTTTCCCCTTCCAAAGCAACCAGCCCTGGTTTTGAGGGGACCCACCGTTACACCGTCTCTGCTCTGGTTAGGAATATTGCTGACAACAGCTCCTGAGGCATGTTTGGGTTATTAAATGCAAATAATTACAATACATATACAGGTACTGGCCACAGTGGAATGAAATTCTCCATTACACTAACATTTAATTTGCTTGAGGAACACTTCAGTTGAAGTTTTGAGACATCTCAGTAACTTTTTTTTTAAATCTTTGATTTCTGTGTGGGAGCCTGAGCATCTACAAGTGATTAGGAAGGCAGAAGTTTGAGGTTCAAGTGTCACACAAACATCTCTTCTCACTCCTGGTACTGCATGCATATGGCCAGAGCGAAAGGTTGTCAATGTTCAGTCATCCTGGAGTAGAGGAAGCTCTTCTACCCCAAGTAGAAGAAAGGACTGATTTTGAAGGTGCCCGTTAGCTTCCAGCACAGGTTTCTACTAGGAATGACATGAACTCAGTGTTAAATATGCTCATCAGAGAGAATTCTTGTGGGGAATAATTTTCAAATAAGTTTTGCCCAGGTTTTTAATTAACTTCAGCAGCAAGGGGGGCTGTGCAGCCTGCAGAAGCAGCTATGTTTTGCAGTATTTTTCTCTTTGTTCAGCTACTTTTCTTCATCTGCAGGAACTACAAGTATAGCATCTGCCTTCAGAGAGCTCACTAATGAGCTATTTCTGCCTCCCTGCCCACCCTAGTCCGGGGAAGTGCTATGCACAGCTCAGGCTCACAACCTGCCTTGTTAGAAATACTTGTCAGGAGAGTCAGAGGGGTAGCGCAGGGCTAAATATGTCTGTCAGAACCTCAGCTATGTGCAGCTAACTCCTCCAGCACTTGCCCTTCGCTTACGTCAAGAGTATTTTTTGATGCCAATATTTGTTTCATAGAGCAAGGCTGACAGCAGAGGCAGAGCCCCACAAGTAGGAGCACTGGCTGCCTTCAGCCCGAGGCAGGGCTTCCTTCTGCCCCGTTCCCTGCCTCCTTCCACCCTGGGGCTGCTGGGCGTGCCCTGGAGGGCAAGGGCATCAGCATCTGAGGCAAAGCTCTGTCTCTCACAGGCTGCACAGGACCACATTCAGTGCTAGCTAGGGGCTGGATAGACTCAGTCAACCCAAAACACCAGGAATTTGTCCCTGAACTGGCTGAGCTTTCAGTCCCATGACCAAACCAATTTCAGACCCGCTAACAGCTTGCCAGACCCTTTTTCTAGCAACGCTTTCGTGCTTCATGAAGACATTTGATCCAAGCACGGAGTCTTCCACTAAATGAAAATCATTGCTCTCAACACTCCATAGAATCTTTTCTATATGACAAGCTCCAGTTGTATGGTAAGTGAAATTACTTCAAAGATCACAACCAACATCCTTCCAGAGGGAGGAAATGGGGGGGGGGGGACCAAGGGGGGAACCAAAAAAAAACACGAACAAACATGGTATAAGCAAATGCAGGTCTCAAAAGACAGCAAATAAAATTAAAAAGAAAAAGAAAATGACCCAAAAAACCATGTTGCCATACAGTTAAGTAAGTGCTGTCTTTAAGCCTTAAGTTCAACAATGTGAAGTGGAACATCACCATTCTTTTTCAGTTGCCTCTATTTTTTATTTTTTTCAAAAAAAAACACGAACAAACATGGTATAAGCAAATGCAGGTCTCAAAAGACAGCAAATAAAATTAAAAAGAAAAAGAAAATGACCCAAAAAACCATGTTGCCATACAGTTAAGTAAGTGCTGTCTTTAAGCCTTAAGTTCAACAATGTGAAGTGGAACATCACCATTCTTTTTCAGTTGCCTCTATTTTTTATTTTTTTTTTTTGTCAGTAGTTGGATTGCTATTGCAAACACTTCCACAACATACAAAAAACAAATTTGTTTTTAATCCAGAATAAAATGATTTTTTTTTTCCTTTTTCAATCTGATGGGAGTTCAAAAGTAAGAGAAACAGTAAAACTATGACAACAGCACCTTGACATTGTTTTAATTCCAACGCTATCAGGAGTTAAAAGCATTAAACAGATAATACTAACAGGAATAAAGATACTTACTGTCTAAAATGTAAACAATGTTTTGGTTCAATTTATTTTTCTGAAGGAGGACATTTTATCATCAATTCACAATTGAAGCAGCATGCAACTTTATTCTTTTTTTAAACTTTTTATATTTTCAATTCTTGGCAATGGCGACAAACCACAATGTTATCGAGGAATGTAATGCAGACTTTTTTGTTTGCTTGTTTTTATCTTTTTTCTTTTTTTTTTTTTTTTTTTTTTTTTTTAAACTTGTGCGCAAATGACTTTTGTTCCCTTCCAGGTCATGAATATGTTCAATAAATAGATCATGGAACCACTGTACTGTATAAACTTCAGTTATACATGCAGTCCATAAAATTATTTTTTTACCGAATAATTTACCCTGTTATGTATATATACAAATAGATAATTTTATCTCAATATAATCTATACAACACAAATGCACTATCTTCCCCTTTTAATGGTCAATGTACATACACAGGAAGTGTCTATCCTTATGAAGCGCCAGCCAACTCTCTTTTTACTATCCATGGTGAGAGCTCTCACATAGGACTGGGTAGTTCGGCACTGGGAGTTCCAGTGCCTCTTGTCTATGCCCCTGCAGCCCTCCTTTGTGTACCCCTTGGGGTTGCATTTGGTCTCGTAGAAGTATTGCTTCAGTTGGCCTTTGGGCACCGGGACCTTCTCCAGGACGGTGACGGTGGCCCCGGACATGTCCACCGCAGTCTTTTTCTCGGCGGCCGTCACCCACTCGCTGGTGCTGTCGCAGACGCTCAGCTCCCCGCGGCGCGCGGGGTCCGAGTGCCGCCGCACCCGCATCGACATGTTGGCTGCGTCCAGGTAGTTTTTGTACTCCTCCAGCAGGAAGAGCAGTGGGGGTTCCAAAGGCACTTGACTGCTCAGCATGACGCGGGATGTGTACAAGTCTGCATCCTTGTGTTCTTTGCTGGGCTGCACATCCTGGTCCTCATCTAGAAGCTCCTCGATGACATGTTCGAAAGTGTCTGCCAGTGACGTCAGTCCTCTGGAGCCAGCACTAGGCCCGTTTAGGCTCTCGAGAGCCCCGTGGGTCCGGAGCCCTGGGTAAGCCAAGCTGCCTTGTCCTCTCACACCGGCTTCCTTCATCGGGGCAGCTTTCATGCAACCGAAGTATGAGATAACCATAGTAAGGAAAAGGATGGTCATCACTCTTCTCACTTGGTGGAACTGTTAAGGACAAGAACAAGAAAAAAGCCCAATAAATTTAACTTACAAGGGAGGGAGTAATAAAAATTCACCCGAGTTGTCAGAAGACATTATGCATTTTCTGCAGAGATCTGCTGCATGCAGCCGCAGCTCGCTACCGGTGACAAAGCTTTACCCTGTACAGGGGTGTGCGTTGATTCAGAGTTTGGGATAAGGCATAGGCCGAAGCTTAGGCAACACTGAGACCAGCAGTCAGAGCTCTTACATGTCAAAGTCTTTCTGGAGTAAGTATTAGATAGGATACTATGCAGACTCCCTACTTATTGACTGATGACACCTATTTCAAGTAACAGCAAGAGCAGAACTGCTATTTAGCAATGCAACAGTTCAGCAATAAAAGGCAGCTTTGCGAGCTTGAAAGGCAAGACTTTCATTTCAAGTGCAAATGCAAACATTTTTAAGACCTCTCTATGCCAAAAATATTTCATCTTTCATCCACAGAAAACTGAACAGCATCAGGATAAATTGCATTTGTATTTTGAAAGCAACCTTCAAAACACAGGAAAGGGTCATACAGTTCTGAGGTCTCAGCAGGTCAATTCCTCATCTAAAAGTGGAAGGTATGTATGGACAAGCATGGAACAAGGAAATGGTCTGGGACAGGATGCTATATTTGAGTGGGACAGAGCCTGCATCATGGGAATGACATGGAAGGGACCTGCTGGATTATGGAGCTGACAAGAGCTATGCTGAAATGACAGTACCAGGACCATCATGCTGTCCTTTCCCAGAGCCCCACACTGCCTGCTCTCAAGTGGGCAAAGCATCTGTTTAAGCCCAGCTGAAGTCCTGAGCCTGGAATCAAAACCTGAAGCACCACCAGCCCTGCTGCCATACTGAATGACAGCAGCCTGTCCCTCTTTTTCACTTTCTGCCCCAAGCTCTGCTGCACATTGTGGGCCACGCTTTGAGGCTTGTGTACACTTGGCTTTGTCCTCATTGAGCGTGGAGGGGAAGCACCAGGAAAGAATGCTGCTAAAGCTCCTCACTAGGCTTGGAGTAGGCACGACTCCTATGTGCACTCCCAACAGCTTGGGCTTGTGCAACTGCTCCTACCCAAGCCCTCTGTGAAGCCTCTGCAGATGTTCTCCACTGAGGAACATACATCATTTCCTCAAGTGCAGAGTGCGCACTTCAGGTCCTGGTACAAGCACCCCCAAATCCTGCAGTGACCAAGAGCTATACTTTCCCTCTGATCCCAAGTGCTACTACAACATCCATCACGTCCCGTTGTTATTCTCTCTCCTTCCAATCCCTGCTCTCACCAGCTCTGCTTGCTAGAAAGCAATGGCATTGTTCACATTTTTGAAGAAGCAGCTAATGCTTGTTTCAGAACTTTTGAAGTTCATTCGGAAGTACCTCATACTTGGCAGCACTCTTTGGAGTAAATGCTATTTCTGTTTGCCAACAGGGTGCTATGTGAAAAGCCTTACTTAATCTCCTGCAAATATGCTGTGGGAAACTAGTACTCTTACGACTCAAACATGGAAAGACAATCCATCATAAAACATAAAAAGAAAAAGAAATATGTACTACAACAGCAGTGCCCAAAACACAGGTCTCAAAGCTTACTTACTGAAGTGGGAGGGGTGGGAAGCATTTGGGTTTGTGTCCATGCCCTCCTCACCCCCAGTCCCCCATTGAACAAGATTTTGGATAAGAATTCTCTCTACCCCAGCACAAGTCTTCCTTCATCCCTCCATTGCTCTTCCTGTTTAAAAGTGTTATTGTGGCACAGACTTAAGATTAAACAAACCTGACATCTGTGACTCACAGGAACATGGTGTTTGCTCTAACCATGCAGAACATTAATATTTTGCAGATTTTTTCATCCTAGGATTTTTAAAACATTCTACAGGGAGCAATATCAGATTTCTTCCTGAAAGGGGAAGAAGAGAGACACTACAGATGATTTACAACACAAGGATGAAGGTTATCAGTCTTCCTTTATCAAACAAGGAGAGACAAGGCAGGAGGGAGAAGGGGTGGTTCAGCTAGAATACAAATGCAGAGCCAGTGGAACAGGCAATGAAAAATAATAATATTCATACACTCCCTCTTCTGAGAATTTTTTTACAAAACTTGAAAGTGAAAAAAAACCCCACCCAAACACCCATATCACACTTTGTGACCACCAGAGCAGTGAACAGAACACAGATCTTCTGGCTCCTAATCAGGTTCCTGTTATTTTTACTAGAGTAGTGCCCAGAGGTCCCAGCCAGTATCTCAGCTCTGGAGAACAGACTGTCTGAGCACACTGGTGCCCAAAGGCCCTCCCCGTGTTGAAGAGAACACAATGCAAGAGGCACCCAGACAAGCACAAGACAAACAGAAACTTGGACCCTCCAGCTAAGTGCACGAGTTGGAGGCTGAACATTTACTCTTCAAGTTAGGGAGGTGAACACAGGATAGAAGATTTCCCAGACCAGGCCACATCCTCCCTGTTGTCACTGTGCTGTTTACCTCTCATGGTAGCTAAGAACTCAGAGGGATGTGAAATGAATGGAGCAGTGGCTGTGCAACTTCATTCACGGGGGCATCTTCCTCACAAGGAAGAGGACACAGGACAGAGAGATGAAGAGAAACCTCACCAATTGACTTCAGTAAGCCCTCAGCATCCTCCACCAATGGTTGGTTGGTCACCAGATCTAACACCGCTTTATACCTCACGTTAAATTAATCCTTCCTCAATCAATTTTGCCTTCCATTTAGGAAGGGAACTGCTGTCAGGCTTGATCCATTTACATCCCATCTGACGACACACAGCCACCGCTCTTATCTGAGGTAGCAACAATGTACAGCGAGGCTCTGGAAACGAACAACTTTAAAGACAGCAATTGTCCACATAACATACTGATAATAGACAAGAAAGCATGCCCCCTAAAAGCCACCCCTCTTCCTCGAAGAGCAGAAGAAGAAAGTCAAAGCAAGCTTTAGCAGTGCAGACACATGGAACGCTGCTAGCAAGCTGACACAGATCAAACATCTACTTCTTTGCAAAGGAGTCCCACATTAAGGCACACTGTGCAAGCAGCATGTGAAAAGATCCCTCTATCTTGACAGTGACTTGAGCAATACAGGCAGTCCTTGTCTCTGGCAGTAAAACGATATCAAGTGATTTAATATGAGGAAGTAATGTTCTAACACCTAGGTAATCTCTGCATTTTGGAGGCCACAGCAATTTCTAAGAGCAGCTGCTCAAAATGTACTAGTTTAACATACTATAGCAGAATAAGATTTAAATCTCACTTCATGGGTAGAAACACCCAACCTTCCAGCTACTGTTGAACTGATTCATGAATGCAGAGTTCATCTTTTACTCAGTGAGGCAGGACTAATAACCCAATGTAGCACCAAAAATGTCATCAGAAACGCTCTGGATGGCAGCTTCCAGTCCTTTTCGTCTGCTCATCACCTATCCAGCCTTCACTATATTGCAGAGATACTGCCTGTCCTTACACCCTTCCCATTACGAGGCGGTCACCGTGTTGCTCTGCATGGAAGGGGAACCAGGGGGGTCATGGGAGAAAGCTGCATCTCCCACATACCCAGCACGCTGCTACCGAGCAAGGTACGGCCCCTTTCCACACCAGGCACATCCACCACCACCAGGCCTTCACAGAGATGCCCCAGCATTCCTGGGACACCCATGCCTGCTGCTGCCCTGGCAGACTGAGTGACTGCTTCCCATGGCGGCTCATCAGTGCTGAGGATTTCCCAACCAGAGCACCCTGGCTGAGGCTGCAGGTTCTGAGGGCATGGGCACAACCGAGCGCCAGACAAAGCACAGCAGCCACCACCACTTTTGGTCAGACATGCAGCTAGGAAAGTAGAAAATAAAATCATTGATGATACAGCCTCTATTGTAGTCCTCTGTAGGATGCATTCATCCCCTCCCTTTGCAGCTACAGGAGGGTTAGGTCTCTACTCCCCATCTTCTAGGAAGAACTAAAGCCCTTGGTACTCCTCCTGTTCCACTATGTCACTGGGCAGAGAAGATCAACAACTTCTCTTGGAGAGTCAATCTTGGCTCAGTTGCTGTCCCACAGACTGCTGAATACACCCACTAGGCTGTGCAACATGGATATATGCTAACCTCCTTGAGACCAAGCCTTGAACTACTCCCTCAGGTCACAGAAGACACCTCCATCAGAAGGCACACTTGAGACCAGCTTCCTGAACACCATCCATTCTCATGGCTGCAAGAATGTCCTTCTTTCATGCAGCATAGCAAAGCATTTAAAACAGGTCACCCACCATGGACCAGATCTCAGGAAGACATGACCTAGTTTGTACTGCAATAAATTCCATACAATTACAGCTAGAAAAAGGGCACATAATTGTGGCAGTTGTCTCCACTAATGGGAAGGAGGCTCATTAAATGAAGGTCATGTCAATTATCTACAGCTAGTTTACATACACAGTCAATTACCTAGCTGTACTATTTATTTCAGTATCTGTATTTAATGAGGACTCAACAGCTAATTGTTTTGTTATTTTTAGTTATTTGAAGCAGAAATCTAGCAGTTTAACAGGTTGTATTTCCAGCAGAGAGACCTGAGGAACAGTTGTGAACATATACTTGCTTTTCTGCATCCTGGTACGTGCCAGGAGAGTTGAAATTCCTTTCTGGAGATTAAAGTATTATCAATCTATTCACTACTGAAAATTGTGTGCAGTGGAAGTTAAAATTAGTAGCAAGACGACATTAATTTTCTGCCTTGCCATTTTCTAAGACCTTTATACAAAAGTTCAATTTACTAAATACTACTGAATGGCACAGGCATGAGTTCCTGCTCCACGCATCGTTACCGGAGTGTGTGAACAGATACCAGAATGGGATGCATGTCAGCACATGATTTGCAGAGACTAAATGTACTGAGAACAAACAGTATTAACCTTTAACACATGCATTACTGGGTGTCTGACACACTCTGGTTATCCCTGCAGCTATTTATGCAAGTTG